AGAAGGGGTCGAGTCCCCAGCCGTGGGGGGATTTAACAGCCGGGCAGGGGCGGTGCTGAGGGCCAGGGTTTGGGGGTGGGATGGCAGGGGTAGGTTAAATGTTGGAGTCGATGATCTTAAAGGTCTTTTCCAACCAAAGCGATTCTATGATTCTATGATTTTGTAAGCTGCAGCTGCTGGCAACAGAAAAGCCTTTCAAATACGTTAAGAAGACAAAAGAAACATGTTTGCGCCAGAAAAAGCGATGCGGGGCTTCCCCTGACAGAAGAAACGTAGTGTTTATTCAGGCGGAGCCGTACAATGTGACTATTCTGAGGAGGCTCTGCACAATGGGTGGCAGAGAGGAAAAGCCGCTTCTGGCAAAGCAGCATCAGCACCGGGGGCACAGTCTCGCCTTTGTCGCATTCGGAGGATCCAGGAAGGGCGAAGCACTGCAGTTTCGCTTGTTTTTCCAGCAGAAAGACTTTGTTAACAATCTCAAACCTGACAAAGGGGTGACGAAGAGCATAAGACACGATCCCGGGCAGTAAGCAACCTGAAAAAGTATTCTGTTGTGTACCTGCACGCAAGGTAAAGAAGAGGTAGTGTCCCTTTCAGACAAGTCACATTTCAATCACTGCTCCAATAAACTTTTAATGAGATATCCCACAAACTCATTTTACAGCAAGCATGAAGAGTTTTAACCAATATGAGCATTTTTCACAGATAAATTCCTTTCACAGTAACACCAAAACGGTAGCAGAATGTGAGAATGTGCTTCGGACGGGTTTTGTCACAGACACGCATGCAAGAGCTTTTTTATTTTTGGTCTGGATGGGATCTCACCTGCTTATCTCTCTCATCATGCCCTTCCACCATCACGCCGTTCCAAGGGTCTGGATGGGATCTCACCTGCTTATCTCTCTCCACCATCACGCCGTTCCAAAAGCACAATGGATTTATTGTAATGCAAAACCACACGGGGATCCTGTAAGTTACCACAGGCTGGCAGGGTTAGGAGGCGCAGAGCTGGTTGGCTTGGGGGGGGCAAAGAGGAATACGCTGACCACAGAAGGAAGAAAAAGCGCAAAGGCAGAAGAGCAGCGGGGGCCAGAAAAATGGAGCAGAGAAACCCTGAGGTACTGGGCTGCTCTGAAAACCCACAGGGGGCGGGCGGACGGAGAAAACCTCAGCTAGAGACAGCAGCAGGGGCTCGCCCCGGCCAGGTTTTTGTACAAGGGGTGCAGAGAGCTCTCAGAACAAGGGTGGTGGTGAAGGCAGCCAGAGAAACGATGGTGGTGAAAATCCTCCATCGGGAAAGCCGAGAGCACAGGTGGCATTAACCCCTTCTCCAGGGACCACAGCTCAACGCGGAGGGAAGGAGCAAAGGTCTGAGACGGGGACATGCTGCCCCTTCACCAGCGCTGTGGAGAGATGGAGGTAACCCCTGCCAAAGGCTTCAGGAAGGGGCGGAGGATTTTTCTGTGAGATGACAGAGCAAAGATGGAGATGCCAAAAAAAGAAAATAAAATCCACCCCTCAACTGTTGTTGGCAACTGGAGGGCGCATGCCAGTAAGAGATTATTCTGCCAAGCATCGGTACACCGATACAATAGTCACCCAGGGCACGCACCAGCACGCCTTATTTCTGTCAAATACCACTTTCCTCTCCGAAAACAGTCGTTTGGGTGTGACTGTGCATGACCGAGGTCAGAAGCAGCAGAGGAACCAGCCAATGCTGGCTGCGCTCCCTCTGCCGGCGCTGAAGCAGGGGACGGGACCGGGATGTTCGAGAGCTTTCCCACCAGGGACGAATTATTAAAATCAAGGTCTGAAACGTGGAGTACGGGGTATTCTTCTTCCTGAACACAATTAGTGTGGTGGGCAAAACCACCCGCCCAATCGGCAAGTTTAAGAAGCAGCTCAACGCAAGAAGTTTGCAGCGAACACTTTAGCCTGAGTGTATATCTTATGCAAGGTAAGAGCAGCATGCTCTCTGTTAAAAAAAAAAAAAAATACTAAAAAACCACATTATAATACCACAGAATGGTTACTCTGAACAGAAACATTCCGTGCATACAACGGGGGAACGCCCGCTCCCGTCGCTCGCTTCGGTCTGAGCACACACCGCAAAGCGGTGGACTGAATATTCTGAGTCCAACCCAACAACACGTGGCACCCCCTAAATAAATACGGGGCACCCCCCAAAAAAAGGCGCATGTCCCTGCGTACCCGCTACAGGTCTCTCCACAACAGATTATCCTCCTGTCCTTAGTGACCCGCCGCTGGTTTAGTCCTGATTTTAGGACTCCTGTGATGCCCCCCCGCCCACCGCTGTCAAACACCACAAACAACAGCGCAAGGCAGAGTCATCTCCCCAAACTTACCACGCAAAATATATTCTCAGTAAGGCAAACGTGCGAGTGGTGGTTCCTCATTTATTTACTAGCGGTTTTTGGCCACCACTCGGGTATACTTGCAGTGAGCTTCACTTTATCACCTGCTATATTTAGGCAGAGCTTTTATATTAGCTAACCTCAGCAAAGCGATACCAAGTTCATCTCCTCCTGCCCGGAACTTGCCGGCTGATTTTCCCGATTCGGTTAAGACCTCGGCACCCTCGGGAATGCTGTCCTTGGGAAGAGGAGCTGAGAAGCGGACCGGCAGCAGACGTTTGCGAATGACGCCCATGTGGTGGGTCCTGGCTGTCAACTCCTGCCCGATGTAACAGCCTTTGGTAAAGCTGATGCCGTTCATGTAAGCCAGGTTTGATTCCAGCGGCAGGGCTACTCCAGGAGGGAGATCTTTCACACCTTCGGGAATTCCTAGGGAAAAAAGTAAAACCAACGGGTAAACGCAGTAATTTCTTCAGTATTTAAGATTTCTGGAACACGCCTCCTCTGCGAGTCGTAAAACCAAGAGAACCCATAAGAAGCAGTGGGAAATAACGAACCTCCCAGTACTCTGGTATGAGCCTGAGGGAAATCATTAGCCAAAACCGATGTTTGCTCTTAAGGGTAAACAGAGAACTGCACTGGAACCCAATTTCATGAAGCTTACGGCACTTCACAACCCTACCGGTGGAAAGCCAAAGCACCCAGAACGATGCAGACTCCTGTGCAAAGGCATCAACGCACACACGATGCCAAAATCCTTCTCACCCCCACCCCACAAGCAGACTTTAATGTCAATAAGTGTTATTTTCTTCAAGGCTAAAGAAGGTAAGTTGGCCAGCTGTCTCTGTTAAAGCCCAAATGCCAAAAGTCGGTATAAGTAGTTGCTCTTTGTGTAACCAATGACACAAAAATAGTATTTTTTTTTTCTTTTTTTGAAGCAGAGCATTGCACCCAGCTTTCTGCAGCGGCACAGCAAGACGCATGCTGGTGTTTCAGGGTGGTGGCACACCACCGCAGTCCGGCCCAGTTTGACCCCCTTACTGCTTGCTTTTCCCAACCAGATGGACTTAAACGTCGCTGTTAATAAGCGGAGGACCATCACCTTCCAGGCTGCCAATTAGTTTAATCCACTATCTGTGTGGATGCAGCAAAATCAACGGGAGCTCTGCACAGGCACAGGGGCTCCCAGGACCGAGCCCCCCCCCAGATCAACCCTCCGCCCCTTGGCCTCCGAGTTAACTCTGCGATTCCAGTCATACATTTTTAGGAAAGTAAGTCAGGGTGTTTCCTTCTCCTTCCTTAGCAACAAGGAAAACATGTAGACTGTGTGTAATCCCAAAATGACTCAAATTTCCTTAGCAACAAGGAAAACATGTAGACTGTGTAATCCCAAAATGACTCAAACCACCAAAGTTTCCCACTAGGATAATGAATAATCCTGGTTTTCTTTTGCTCTTAGCGTTCCTAATCCACCGCCCCATAACCCTAGGAAACTGTACCCAAATATTGATTCTGCCACCAGACAGAATTATAACTACCAGATCACTTTTATCCTCAAAGTAGCCAATAATACCTGCACTTATTAACAAGTTAAACACACTAAGACATACCAACACGGCTTTTGTAATTTATTCCTCCGTCTTGTATCAGCACGTGGACTCTGATAATAAGATGAAACTGTGATAATACATAAACACATTTCCCAAAATCCAGTGGCACAGAGTGCGAAACAGGACTTGGCTTTACCTTGTTTATACCTGTGCCTGTGGTAATCCTGAATGTTTCCAATATGACTCCCAGGGATAATTTCCGGCAGATTTGCTCCTTTCTTCGTAATCAGTCTCCAGCCCATGACTTCTGTTCTGGGGTCAGGAGTTAAAATCAGAGCCTGGTCCGGACACTTAGCGAGGGAACTGGCAACATCTCCAGCCCGGTCCCCGGGGACGACAGCCCACAGAGAGAGGTCAAGGCAAGGGGCGATGTTTACTTTCCTCCGGATCTTGTACAGTTTCAGATGTTTTTGTATGGCGTCCAGCACGCCGCTGTCACACTCCAGCAGGATGTGCGGCTCTTCTTCTGGACTCTCGTGAAGCCTAAAAAAAGTAACACCTACAAGGTCAGAAAAACAAACTCCCCACGGCAGTGGCAGCCAACACGCTTTATCTTCATCCTGGTGCGAATCCAGACAGCTGGGGAATTTCACCAAAGGCTGCTGGCGCACACGAGAGCGGCTCCCAGCCCTCTGTAGTGAAATATGTGAATTTTTCAGCCATTTGTTCCACTCTTTTCCAACAAATATTGCCCTCACTACTCCCGGGGACAGAAACGGAACCGGCCGTACAGTTTTCTGTACCAGCCACGCTTACCTAAACTGGGGTGAATCCTTACGTGAAGAGGAGGTTCATTCAGCTGCACCTTCCATTCGTTACCACACCACTAATGACAGTGCCTGAGCCCAATTTTTCACTGACTGACACCGCACCTGCATCAGGTGGCTATACGGTGTCATTTGCCTATGTCACATGGCCTGACATGGGTGTCGGGGAGCGTGGCACCCGTGTGACAGCGCAAGCTGCTCGTTTCCCACACGGCCCAAACGCACCCATAGGCACGGCGCCTGGGGCCTGCCCTGAGGGACGCTTTAAAAATATGAACCCTCTAGGGGTCCCTTCCAACCCAAAATATTCTATGATCGCGCTTTGCTGCTGGGGTAACTCACAGAGACCGCAGCCAGTGATGAAAAACAGACGGGAGCGGGCGCTTTTTGGCGG